CCGGCTGCAGAACAGGGAGAAAGACACCTTTTGTTTTACAATCTCCAAGCGGCTGATTTTGTGCACGTTGCGCAGCACTATCCGGTTCCTGACATTTCCAGGGTCTTCCCAAGGGAAGTTTGGCACATTGTCCGCTGACAGAGTCCACCTTTGAAAGACTGTAATGACTGCCTCATTTGAGAGAGACAGAGAGGAGGCAGCAAGAAAAATGTTTCCCTTGCACCTCTGGAAGCTGTGAATGTCACTGCTCATTGTGAGGGAATGTTCCAGGGCCGGCCTGATAAACCAATCAGGCAGCCTCAGGTGAAGGCATTTCATAAACATGTTTGAAACCTGCCTGGCAGCTTCAGGGCTGAATGGACGGCAGAGGCCAGCGGCTGAAGAAGAGGAAGAGAGGGAGCCAAAAAAGATAGCACGCTCCCAAACAGGAAGGGCAGGGGCCTGCACAGCAGGAGGGGGGGCCTTTCCCCGCCTAGAGGCTGGTACGGAGTTAGACTGCTGGTCTGCCTTTTCCTCCCCATCCTTCCCTGCTTCATGGGACCTGGTGCAAGCATGTTATGCCTTATGCCTTACATATAACTAACGCTCCCACTTTTGCCTCTTCTTTGCTTGTTCATAAAACTAGCCACTTATGATCCTCATAACAAATTTATAAGACTATCTTTCCCATTTCCCTGGTGAATAAACTGAGACTTCAAAGAAAAATGTGATTGACAGAGGTCACCCAGCCAGAGTGGACCTCCCTGGGCCTGGAGGCCAGGCCTGGCTGGCTCCACAGTGCATCCTCGCCCTCAGTATTCCTGGCCTCGGGGTACCATCCTAAGCCCCGCTGCCTGACGTCAGGGGACTGGTTCAACATCACAGCATTAACTTCAGGTCTGTCTGCAAGTCTCACACGGTTGAGGATTTTTAAAAAATATATATTTTATTAATTTTTACTGAGAGGAAGGGAGAAGGATAGAAAGTTAGAAACATCAATGAGAGAGAAACGTCGATCAGCTGCCTCCTGCACACTCCCTACTGGGGATGTGCCCACAATCAAGGTACATGCCCTTGACCGGAATCGAACCTGGGACCCCTCAGTTCGCAGGCTGACGCTCTATCCACTGAGCTTCTGTCCTGGGGCACCTGGGTGCGTCAAACTGGTTAGGGCCACGGTTGAGGATTTTACCAAATGCCAAATGTACACACATACATAAGTGCACACATATGTAAATGTAGTGTGTAGTCTAAAGAGAAAGCTTTGGAATCTGAGCACAGCCCTTTGAATATCCTTTATCTCTGAAAGTGTATTTGTTTTTTGGAAATGGAAGAAAATCATTTGGAGCTCGTGATATTGTGATTTATAATAAAAAAATATATGTTTGGTCTTTGTCCCCAGTCCCTGACACAGGGTCCCTAAAACCTTTGTAAAGTCCTAAGTGACGAGAGCACTGGGAGCATCTTCTGTTCTAATGAGGTGACTCCGGGTGGGCTCCTGGATGGCTATGTGAGGAAGCCTCTGTAAATCCTAATAGCACTGGGTCTGGGGACCGACCGTGCCTACAGGAGGAGGCCTTCATAAATCCCAATAGCACGGGGTCTGGGGACCAGCCTTGCCTACAGGAGGAAGCCTCCATAAGTCCCAATATCATGGGGCCTGGAGAGCTCCCAAGTAGATGAACACATCCGCATACCAGGCGGGTGACGCACCCAGGTGCCCCAGGACAGAAGCTCAGTGTTAGGACCCTCCCAGACCTCCCCCATGTCTTCATCTAGCTGCACATCTGCATCCTTTATCATATCCTTTAGTGGCGAACTGTGTTCGTTACAGTAAACATTTCCCTGAGTTCTGTGAGCTGTTCTAGCAAGTTAATCGAACCTAAGGAGGGGGTGAAGGTAACCTCAGATTTGTAGCAGCTGGACAGGAATTGTGGGTAATGGGATTGGCCTCTGAAGAGGGGGACAGTCTTGTGGGACTGCGCCCTTACACGTGGGATATGACACCATGTCCAGGTAGATAGTGTCAGAATTAAGTTAGATCGTAGGACGCTCAGCTGGTATTGCAATAATTGCTTCGTGGGGGAAACCCCACATATTTGGTGAGCGGAAGTGGTGGGCAGATCTGGAGGCAGGCAGACCTGTCATAAGTGACATGTTCTGTGTGCAAGTAGAAAGGAAAGGCACAAGAGGAGAAGGGCCTTGGTTTTTCTAATATGGAGCCTGAAGTTTAGTGGACGATGAATTTATTCAGTGGATAAAGAGGTGAAGCAGGTCATCAGGAAGGGGAAGGTATGCATAGGTGGATGTATTAATGTATTTTACTGCCTATCCTGAGCCAAGCATCCTGCCTGCTACTGCTGTCCTAGTCCTCAGCTCGTCAACTGCCATACAACAAGGTGGATTTTATTATCCAATTTGGCAGGGGAGGACACCGAGGCCGAAGAGAGAAAATTACAATCCTCTAATTAGTGGCAGAACTGGAACTGGAATCTAGTTTGCCTTAAGGGAATGAGAGCCTTTTTTTTTTTTTTGCTCAGAAAATAAACAAAAAGAAAGAAGAAGTGAATGCATGGCTATAAAGCAATGAGATGCTTTTTTGGTTCCAAGAACTGGCTCTGCAGATAATTTTAAACCAATGAATCTGAAAGTGTTGTGAGAAATGGCAGTACCATTATCCTAAGAGTCAAGTTCCCAAGAAGACAAGTACGATAAAAACAAACACCCATTTGGCCGTCTGTGCGTTATTTTTGCTTTGAGTCAGAGACTTTCCTGGTCCCCTTAACTACAGTTCTCTAGAACCCAGCCTCCTGGCACCGAGCAAACCCTGAGACCTTGTTCAGCACCCTCACCCCAGGGAGGCGGAACTCGGCACCAGGGACGGGGAGTAGTAACCTGCTCAAGTTCACACAGTGAATTTGCGCTGGAACCTTGACAAAAACCCAGGTGTCTGATGAAGCAGTGCTGTTTCCCTGAGCTAATCCCGGCCCTGCGGATACATCTTCCTAAAATAACAGTAGACGTTTTGAAGAAACCTTCCTATGTCAGACACTTGGAAGTGCATTGTCTTTATTAAGCCTTCAAGGAAGCCTCACCATTCCCATTTCACAGAGAGTAAAACCAAGGCGCAGAGAAATGAAAGGATGGGGCCAAGTTACAGAGCTACGAAATAGAGGCCCCGGGATTTGAACCCAGGCCTGCTCACCTCCAGGCCCCTCATGTTTAACAACAGTCAACACCCATCCTTTTTGCCTGAACGTCTCCTTCTTCTCTGTGTCCCTCGGGGGCCCCGGAGAAGGCACAGCACATTCGACTTAAATCCCCCTCCCCCAGCTGGCCACTTCCCTGCTTTCCGTGTTTATCAACACAAATAGCCTGACCTCCTCGCACGTTTGTTTGGTTGGAGGCCTGCCTCAGTCCCTGGGAACCCAGAGGAACAATGAGATGTTGTCCATCCGGACCGGGACCGCTTCCTCCACTTCCCCTGCCCACACTGGCCCGCAGCTCAGACCCGCCAGGCCCCTCCAGCTTGTCTACAAAGTGCGTCAATCACTTGTTTACTTGCTTTTCCTGCCTGGCCCCGGGGGTTCCGCTGGCTATTTCTTCTCTTTGGGAGTTCCTTGGAGGTGAGCTTTGATCTTCCTAGAGGAAGGGGCGACAGGAAGATGATGAGAGATGCGAGAAGTCTGTATGTAGCACCTGACTCGCTCTGTGAAGGAGAAGAGGCCTCGGAGAGCAACGGAGGATGCTGCTGAGATCTGAGCATCCTGCCTGGGTGGAGGTCTGCCTCTCCTCTGGGATAGAAGCGGAAAGGAGTAAACATTCCACAGGCCGGAAGCAAATGCCCCCAGGCCTTTCTATGCCCGGCCAGCAGCATAACGCAGTGAATAAATAATGAATGCAAACATTTTACAAAACGCCACGCTGAGATGCCCGCTGGAGGGAGAGGTTTTTAGATGTGCGGCTTCCCTGGGACGAGGCTGCTTGTGAAAACACCCCAATGCCTGTAAAGGTCTAATTTGAGAGCTGCCCTGAGGACGTCTCTGGAATACTGCCCGGAATGCCACCCCATTAGAGAGCTGCTTATCTGGGTGCTGCGGGCTTTTGGGTCCTCAAAATCCATTTGGCATGAAAATGAACCCTGAGCAGGGACACTTAACTATTAAAACAAAATATCAGTCAGGGCCCAGCAGGAAATGACAGAGACACACAAAAGGGTTTAACTGAAGAAAATTTAATATGGACTATTTACAGGGGTGTGCGGAGATTACAGGGACAGTCAGGTACAGGGAGGCAGGGAGGGAGAGGGGAAGAAATGCCCTTGACCTTTCTCTCCTCCATGCCCTTTCCTCTCCCAACAGCGCCTCCCATTGGCAAAACCCGGCTACCAGCCAAAGAAGAAAGAAGCCTGGGTGACCTAGTCCACAGAGGGCAGCCGCTGGGTGGACAGGGCAGGGACGGAGCAGGAGGGCAGGGGAGAGTCACAGCCCCTGTCCTCGCACCGAGAGCCCAGGGAGTGGCTCTGAATTGCTTCTTCACGCAGAGCTGTCTGCGTGGCATCCAGGTCACGACAGCAGGGTTCTAAGTGTATGAGACCAGTTTATGAGACAGGCCGGGTGGCCATGTTATTGCTGTTGAAGCTCCCTTTGGACGAGGGCTCTGAGAGGGAGAAGCCCGGGGCCTTTTCATCTTTCCCTCTGTTTAAGGCCCGGAGAACCCAGATTTCATTACTTCACGGGGTGGCTTTGCTCGGTATGTGAGTTTTGCTGGGAAGAGTATCATGTGTATAGAAGAGTATTTTATTTTTATTTTTAAAAAATATATTTTATTGATTTTTTACAGAGAGGAAGGGAGAGGGATAGAGAGTTAGAAGCATCAATGAGAGAGAAACATCGATCGGCTGCCTCCTGCACACCCCCCACTGGGGATGTGCCCGCAACCAAGGCACAAGCCCTCGACCGGAATCGAACCTGGGACCTTTCAGTCCTCAGGCTGACGCTCTATCCACTGAGCCAAACCAGTCAGGGCTAGAAGAGTATTTTAAATATACATAGAGTTGAAAATACAGTACAGTTAGCACCTATGTACCTATCATAAAAATTAAAGAGTAGAGCACTCACCAGGACCTTAGACACCCTCCAAGGGCTCCTCTGTAAATAAAACCTCCAGCCTCCTCCCCAGAGGTGGCCTTGTCTTAACGTTTGTGCTCATCGCTCTTGGTTTTCTTCACAGTTTTACCACTAGGTGTGTATTATTACTAAACCGTGTGTATGGGGCAGGAGCACAAATCCAGCTGAGAATGAAAGGGCGACTTTCTCCTGTTTGATGAAAGTGTCCAGGAGAGAGAGAAGGTAGACGGGGTCTCTGGGTCAGTCTGGTTTCAGTTTCCCCAAGAGCTTACAAGAGTCCCTTCTGGGGGAGTAGGCAAACAAGGTCATGAGTTGGGAAACACAGGGCTCATCAGAGTTGGGCATCTGGTAGGGCTCTAGTGGGGGCCAGGTACTCAGTATCCGGGAGAAATATGGTCCGGAGTGTGGATTGCTCTGGATTTGCTGCCTCCTCACGGCCCACCTTCAGCTTCTGAAGCAGATCATAGCAGAGCACTTCTGTGGGGTGAAAGGAGCAACCTCAGTGAGCCATTAAATAGGCCATAGCAGGAAAAGCAGCGACCTCGGCAGAAATGATTAAGGCAAGTCAAGAACAGATCATACCACCCAGCCTCACCCAGGAATTCTGTCTTCAGGCACCGCTCCCCGAAAGAATCAATAGCAGTGGGGATCTTGGTGATGACAGCTCTGAACATATCTACCTTTTGAGGCACTCTGCTCTCATCTGGGCTGGTTGTCCTCTGTGCCATATACACAGCTGTCCATCTGAGACACCATTTACTACCCTCTTGGGTATTTCTTTCATCCCTCTCCAGTGTTGAAGCTCATGTGTTCGGTATTCAATGTCTTTCTCTATTTCCTCTCTCTCTCTCTTTCTCTCTCTCTCTCTCTCTCTCTCTCTCTCTCTCTCTCTCTCTCTTTTTATAAAGCATATACTCCAGTAATTCCCTGAGGAAGGGTGCATGGGAAGAGAAATTTGTTAAGACTGTACAGATCTATAAATGTTTCTATTCTATAGTACTTGATTTATAGCACTTATTTTTTTAATGTTTTTATTCTAAGGACTTGATTTATAGTACTTGCTTTTATAGTTGAGCTGGGTATAGAATTCCAGGTAGAAGTTAAATTTTTTTCACCAGTATTTTGAGGGCATTTCTCCATTGTCTTCTTATTTCACATATTACTGTTGAGAAATCTAAAGCCATTCTGGCCTGGCTGGTGTGGCTCAGTGACTGAGCATTGCCCATGCACCAGGAGGTCACCAGTTTGATTCCCGGTGGGGCACATGTCAAGTTTTGGGCTCCATCCCCAGTATGGGGTATGCAGGAGACAGCTGATTGATATTGATGTTTCTCTTTCACCAAAGTTTCTATCTCTGCACTCTCTCTTCCTTTCTCTCTAAAATCAATGAAAACATTTTTTAAAATAAAAATTAAAAAGCATTGTCCTTTCTTTAAAAAAAAAAATAAAGCCATTCTAATTCCAGGTCCTCAATATTATTTTCTACCCAGTTAGAGTTTCTCATTTATTCTACCAGGTTTCTCATTTTCAAGAGTTTGTTAATGTCCATTGGAATATATATATATATATATATATATATATATATATATATATAGAGAGAGAGAGAGAGAGAGAGAGAGAGAGAGAGAGAAAGAGAGAGAGAGAGAGAGAGAGAGAGAGAGAGAGAGAGAGAGAGCATTCTGTTCTTGTTTCAGGGAAGTTCTTTTATTTTTCAAAATATATTAGTCATAAAATTTATTTGGAAATTTTTTTTTCCTGCAGTTTTTGTTTCCTCCAAAATACTTTGTTCTTGTTTTTGATCTATGTCTCCCATAATACAGCCTTGCCTTAGACGTAAAACTTGGCTGTATGCTCATAATACATGAGAAGGTTAAAAAAAAACTAATTGGAAGCTCTGATGTAAAACTTGGCTGTATGCTCATAATACATGGGAAGGTTAAAAAAAAAACTAATTGGAAGCTCGGAGTGGAGCCTGACACATTGAGATTAGATTCAAAGTAGGGAAACCGGGCTCAGCTGTTTGTTGGGAGAACACCGAATATAGGCATCTACTTTTCAGATGCCTAGAGAATGGTTTTCCTGTATCTTGCCATGAAGGTAAGATTCTAGATGCTAATGTGCTGGGAGCCAAGTGTGGAAAGAACACAAACATATTCAGAGTGAGTCCTGTTCCAGAGGTCTGTCTCCAATGAGGCCCTCGAGGATGGGAAGTGGGGAGGTGCCAGTCCACGCCTACAAAACCTGTTGTCACCTTGTTACACACCGGGCTTGGCCTTGCTGTAGTAGAAAACTGAGTGTCCAAGCAATGGGGTAGGAAACAGTAAACCAGCATGTGCTGAGCATTTCTTTTACTTAAGGGAACAGTCGTACATGCATGTAATTGAGCTCATTTACTAGCCACAAGGGGCCTGCATGGTAGGCATTGGGAAATTATTGAAGACTTAAATTTTCTTTTATTTTGCAGTAAATACTGGCCAGTGAAGACTAAATTAACTGACCCAAGGTCAGACAGTTATTAAGTGACAGAGTTAGAATTCATACCCCAGTCCCTTGATTCCAAAGATCTTTATTATTATTTTTATTTTTTAAAATATATTTTACTGATTTTTTACAGAGAGGAAGGGAGAGGGATAGAGAGTTAGAAACATCAATGAGAGAGAAACATCGATCAGCTCCCTCCTGCACACTCCCCACTGGGGATGTGCCTGCAACCAAGGTACATGCCCTTGACTGGAATCGAACCCGGGACCCTTGAGTCCGAAGGCCGACGTTCTATCCACTGAGCCAAACCGGTCAGGGCTTTATTATTATTTTTATTTAAAAGATATTTTTCTGAGTAAAGAAGTACAGGCTATTATAGATATCTTAGAAAATATATAAAATTCCAAATCCATATTTTAAAACATATAAGGCCACCCAAACACTGTACAATTTTCATAGGGACACATCATAATTTATAATAATAGTTTATTTGACTGTCTCCTAATTTGACTCATTTAGGTTGGTAAATCTATTCTTTTTCTAATGCATGGCACCAGCCAAGGGCAGCAGGAATGGCCAGGAGTCAGGGTCAGGAAGGAGCAGGGTTCTAGGCAAGTCCCTTGGCAGAGAACTCCTGATTAAAGGCAGTTTAGATGGATGTGATTCAGTACCTTGGAGAGCTCCAAAGAGTCCACACCTCTAGTGGGGACTAGGCCCAACCATGACTGAGAGTTCTTAAGGGTTCTGAACTGCTTCCCTAGAATGGAATGTTAAAAGACACAACACACAGCTAGGATTGGAGGTCTCTTTGTCCTTGAGGGGTTCATCCTCACCACTCCCCAGATCAGAGAGCTTTGTGGGAGTAGGTCATTGTTCTCACCAATATGCCTTTTCTCATTGCTGAAAATGCCTGGCTAATTTCTATTCATCCTTTAATGTTCCATTTAATCACTAATTTCTCCAAAAAACGTTCCGAGCTCCCTCTACCTATCACCTCAAAAGCTTTCCCCTTTCCTTCTGCATTTCTTTTGGTCTTTATATATACACTAGAGGCCCAGTGCACGAAATTTGTGCACTGGGGGGGGGGGTGTCCTTTAGCCCGGCCTGTGCCCTCTTGCAGTCTGGGAGCCCTTAGGGGATGTCTGACTGATGGCTTAGGCCCACTCCCCACGGGAAGTGGGCCTAAGCTAGCAGTCGGACACCCTTAGTGCTGCCATGGAGGCGGGAGAGGGTCCCGCCACCGCTGCTGCACTCACCAGCCGTGAGCCCAGCTTCTGGATGAGTGGTGCTATCCCTGTGGTAGCGCACTGACCACCAGGAGGCAGCTCTTGCATTGAGTGTCTGCCCCCTGGTGGTCAGTGCACGTCATAGTGACCGGTTGTTCCGCTGTTTGGTCAATTTGCATATTAGCCTTTTATTATATAGGATTGGACTAGATTATAATTTTCTGTTTGTTCTTCTAACTAGACTATGAGTTCCTTGTAGACAGGGACTGATTCTGAATGATCTTTGGTCTTAGTAAATACTCAATAAATAATGTTAAATATTCAATAAATGAGTGTATTTTCTGTAGGCAATGGAGAGCTATTGAAAGTGATTCTCACCTAGGGAAAATTTTTGCCCCTAGAGACATTTGGCAGTGTCTGGAAATAGTTCTGTTGTTGTTGTTGTTAACTGTGGGGTGTGTGTGTTACTGGCATATCATATGTAGAAACCATGGATGTTTCTCAACATCCTACTATGGACAGGACAACCCCCACAACTAATAATTATCTGGCCCAAAGTGTTATTTGTGCTGAGGTTGGGAAACCCTGTTTTAGAACAATAAAATGAGTTTAATCAAACCCTTCTTTCATCAACTTAGGAGTCTTCAGAGAACAGTGAATCCACCTGGCTTGTTTTTCAGACGTGAAGACTGAGCTAGTTGGTGTAGGGCCAGAGCAAAAACTTGTACCACGACATCCTTTCCACACAGTTGCATTTGGCTAACATTGTTTTTACCCATCCAGTACTCTGAGTGGTATAGGAATGGAATGATTTTCTTACTGATTTTCTTACTGCCTATTATAATAGGTTCACCAATCAGGTTTGGGGAACAAGACTAGAGGAAAAATTTATTTATTTATTTATTTATTTATTTAGTATATTTATATTCCTCACCCGAGGATATTTTTTCCATTGATTTTTAGAGAGACTGGAAGGGAGGGAGAGAGACACAGAGAGAGAAAACCATCGATGTGAGAGAGATACACTGATTGGTTGCCTCCTGCACACATCCCAACCAGTGCCAGAGATTGAGCCTGCAACCAAGATATGTGCCCTTGACCAGAATCAAGCCCGGGACCCTTCAGTTCAAGGGCCAATGCTCTAGCCACTGAGCCAAACTGGCTACGGCTGTTAGTTGATATTTTTTATTTATTTTTTAATATATTTTATTGATTTTTCACAGAGAGGATGAGAGAGGGATAGTGTTAGAAACATCGATGAGAGAGAAACATTGATCAGCTGCCTCCTGCACATCCCCCACTGGGGATGTGCCCCGCAACCAAGGTACATGCCCTTAGCCGGAATCGAACCTGGGACCTTTCAGTCCCCAGGCCGATGCTCTATCCATTGAGCCAAACTGGTTAGGGCTAGTTGATATTTTTTAAAAGAATAGTTTATTAATATTTAAAGAGCGAAGAGGGGTGAGAGAAACATGGATGAGAGAGGGCAACATTGATTGGCTGCCTCCTGGATGCCCTCCACCAGGTTTTTTTTTTCTTTTTTTAAAATATATTTTATTGATTTTTTACAGAGAGGAAGGGAGAGAGATAGAGAGTTAGAAACATCGATGAGAGAGAAACATCGATCAGCTGCCTCCTGCACATCTCCTACTGGGGATGTGCCCACAACCCAGGTACATGCCCTTGACCGGAATTGAACCTGGGACCTTTCAGTTCCCAGGCCGACGCTCTATCCACTGAGCCAAACCAGTTTCGGCGCTCCACCAGGTTTTAAGCCCACAACCCGGGCATGCGCCCCTGACCGGGAATGGAACCAGCAACCACCTGGTGCATGGGATAATGCCCAAGCAACTAAGCCACACCAGCCAGGGTGGAAAAAAAAAATTGAAGTCACAGAATAGGTACCGCCAGCCTTCTCTCACCCACCCTTGCATTGGCCTCCTTTTTTTCTGGAAATATATGTTCCAAGTCTAGGGCTGAATGAGAAGAAACAGTTCTCTCAAAGGCTCATTTCTGAACAATTCCCAATCTGTTCCGGGAAATGAGAGATTAGCCTGTGGAAGAGTGAATTAATTTTAAGCCACTCTGCATTAGAACCAACTAAAGCGCTGGAGAGCCCAGCCTGCCACAGGAGAATTCACTCTAATTGCTACAGACCA